ACAATAAGAACCAATGGCTGTCACAGTTCTGTACCCTTTAAAAAATGTCTTTGAAAATATATTTCAAAATATATTAGATTGCTTATAGTGGTCCTCAGTTTCATTGTTTTTAAGGAATGAATTTGTGAACAGATGAATAGAAAAGTTCTGGGGCATAACATGGTTACCTTAGTGTTTTTTTTTTTAAACTGTATTAAAGTTAGTTGATTGATTAATCATAGTTAATTCTGTTGATGGGATTGGGGGGAACTAACTTGATAAAAAAGGCAATTTATGAAATCATTGTAAATAGTGTAATTTTGAAGAAATCTCAGCCCCAAATTTTCTTTTTCAGGCATTTTTGATAAAAGAAAATGTTTACATTTAAAATATTAACATTCCATTACATAAAAATGAGAATAAAATGCTTTAGTATCTTAATCTTAATAAAGCATATAGTCACTATGATTACCGTTACTTTTTATTTAACATGGTAATATAAAATTCAGATTAGAGACATGAAAATGACATGACAGAACAGTTTTGCAAGAAAAGTGATTTTATTAGAGCTAACAATAAGGCTGTTAGTGTCATGCATTAATATTTTATTTTAAATAATTATGTGATTAAGCTTTTAGTAACATATGAATTCCTTAGCACTTTTTTTTAACCTCATTCTTAAAAATTCCAGTGGCTTGTTTTCTTGTATTTTTCTTAATCAGGGTGATCTTAAACAGACCTTCAGTTTTAAATCTGCCAGTTGTTCTAATACAGATGCATAAATATATTTTATCCAGTTGACTATTACAAAGACAACTTGTTTGTGGGCACCGTCAGGACATCTGCATTTTATTGGATTTAATTTTCAGTAATAAAGACCTCCCACATTATAGATTATTTCCAGCCCAAATTAGCCTGTGTGGGAAGCAAAGAACGGTCAGTCAGGGAGAAAAAGTGAACCCATATGGCACCAATGATTCAGTTTCTCTGGCTACAGTGAAGAAAGAGTTGAGTATAGACAGTTTCCCCCAGCAGATCTTTTTTTCTTTTTCTCAAAAGCTTGCTACAACAAGATTGGTGTCAGTCCCAACCCAATGCCTTTTAGCTAGCCCAGCTCATCCACGTTCCATGCATCTAGTCATAGATACCTAACTGAAATTTCAAGGGCGAATTCTCCTTCCTCTAATGTCTCTGTTTCCTTTATATGTATGCGCAGTCCCTGCTCTGACCATTCTCTTTCATTCTGGGGCTCACTTCTGCCTGGTGGACTCATTTTATTTTGTTTTTGCCCATCCAAATTCTTAGCGCTTTCTCAGGGCTTTGGTCCAGGTTCCTAAACAAGGTCTATAATATGGAGAAATCTTTAAAAAAAAAAATCACTGTGTCAAAAAGCAGTCAAAACCTTCTATCTTCAGCTTTAAAGGTGACAAACTAAACCTGGTAATAGAACTTGAATAGATGATGGATATTCTTCACTTTTAAAAGTTATATATAATTCTCTGCTATATGGAGAACAGACAGGAACCGAAAGATTTTCTTTCAATTGACACTTAAGTACCTGGAACAGTTCATTTCTCTTGGTCAGTGTCACTCCTGGGACGAGGAGGAGGAAACTGGGCATAGCATACACTTTATTATCAGCGTTAACTCCTTCAGCACAAGAGGAAGGAAGGGAGGGACGGAGGGGGGGAGGGAGGAAGGAAGAAAGAAAGGAAGAAAGAGAAAGAAAGAAAGAAAGAAAAAGATAGCACTAAGTTATGTCTGACTCTTACGATCCCACAAACTGTAGCCCGCCAGGCTCCTCTGTCCATGGGATTCTCCAGGCAAGAATACTAGAGTGGGTTACCATTTTCTTTTCCAAGGGATCTTCCCAACCCAGGAATTGAAGCCAGGTCTCCTGCATTGCAGGCAGATGCTTTAGCGACTGAGCTATGCAGGAAGCCCAAGAGATAAACCTATTATCTCTACTTCTTGGCAACTCTGAATCTCAGCCAGCAAGATGATGCTGCTTTTTTAAACACTGCTATCTTTATGTCCACGTGAGTTTTTGGTTAAGTTGAAATTTAGTTTCGCAAGTTTCCTGGTTGCAGAGGGTGATACTGATGTGTGTGCTCAGTCGCTTCAGTCATGTCCAATTCTTTGTGATGCTATGGACTGTAAGCCGCCAGGCTCCTCTGTCCATGGGATTCTTCAGGCAAGGTACTAGAGTGGTTTCTCATGCCCTCCTCCAGGGGATCTTCCTGACCCAGGAACTGAACCCACATCTCCTAAGTCTCCTACATTGCAGGCGGATTCTTTACCACTGAGCCATGGGGAAAGCCCACAAATGTTGCTTTATCCTTAAAAGAAATTATCTACTGAAGTGGGTAGAATTGTGTCCCTTCTCTCCCACAATAAGAAAGGTACAAATTTCTAATCCCTGGTACCTGTGATCTTATTTGGAAATATAGTCTTTGCAGATGAAATCAACTTAAGATGAGGTCATCTTAAATGAGGTGGGCCCTAATCCAATGACTGGTGCCCTTATAAGAAGAGGGAAATATGCCCACATAGACACACAGCCTCTTGCCTACTGATGAAAGAGAAAGAGGAGAGTGAAAAAGTTGGCTTAAAACTCAACATTNGACATGACTGTGTTACTGAACTGAACTGAGACACACAGCAAAAATGCATATTATGATGGGGGGCAAAGATTTGAGTGATGTGTCTACAAGCCAGAGAAGGCCAAGGATAGCTGACAACCCCCCAAAGCTACAAAGAAGCAGGGAAGAATTCTTCCCGGCAGCTTGGAGAGAAAGCATGGTTCTGATGACACCCTGATTTCAGACTTCGAGCCTCCACATTTTTGAGAGAATACATTCCTATTGTTTTTAGCCACCCAATTTATAGTTGTATGTTATGAAACTAATATACTAAAGAAGCAGAACTATGAACCAAAAACTGTAATAGAGCTATGGAAGCATAAAGACATTGCTTTCTAAATGTCATGGACAGTAATTCTCAGAACATCATGTTTCTTTGCAGAAACTTAGTAAGCTATCTGACTTTTAAATTTACTGTGGTATGATTGACATAGTAGTAGTAGTGTTAGTTGATCAGTTGTGTCTGACTCGTTGCAACCCCGTGGACTGTAGCCCACCAGGCTCCTCTGTCCATGGGATTCTCCAGGCAAGAATACTGGAGTGGGTTGCCATTCCTTTCTCCACGGGATCTTCCCAACCCAAGGGGCAAACCCTGGTCTCCTGCATGGCAGGCAGATTCTTTACCATCCTAGCTAAGAGGGAAGCTCTATGATTGACATACAACATTATATTAGTTTCAGATGTACAGCATAAAGATTCAATATTTGTGTGTATTGTGAAATGATCACCACAACACATCTAGTTAACATTTGTCATTCTACATAGTTACAGAAGTGTTTCTTGTGATGTAAACTTGTAGGATATATTCTCTTAGCAACTTTTAAATATGCAATACATTATTATCTATAGTTGCTGTGCTGAACATTATATACTCTTGACTTATTTCAAAACTAGAGAAGTTTGTACCTTTTGATTTCTTTCACACATTTCTTACACCCTGCCTCTCTCACCCACCAATCTGTTCTCTGTAACTGTAAGCTTTCATTTCTTCTGGATTTTTTTTTTTAATTTTTAGGTTTCCTGTATAAGTGAGATCATATGGTATTTTCTTTCTGTGACCTATTTAGTTAGCATAATGCCCTCAAGGTCCATCTATGTTGTTGCAATGGCAGTATTTTATTATTTTCTATGGCTGAATAATATCCCTTTGTATGTATACACATACAGTGTACCTATATATTGTGACCTCAGGCAAACTACTTACCTTTTTAAGCCTCAGGCTTCCTTGGTGGCTCAGCTGGTAAAGAATCCACCTGCGATGCTGAAGGCCAGGGTTCCATCCCTGGGTTGGAAAGATCCCTTTGCGAAGAGAATGGCTATCCGCTCCTGCATTCTGGCCTGGAGAATTCCATGGACTGTATAGTCCACTGGGTCGCAAAGAGTCCAACAGGACTGAGTGACTTTCACTTTCTTATTTGCTCCAGCTACCTTCTTTCTGGCAAGCATGGTTGAGTAAATAATTAAACGTTAATGTCTGTCCAGGGACCAATCAACAGTAGCTGAATACAGGAAATTAATGTGGATTTGAAATCTGGGCTTGAGCGGACTCCCTGGGCAGGCAGTTTAAACTTCCTAAGCCTGTTTCTTTACCTGTAAAAGGGCAATAAGATCTCACCGGCTTGTTTAGAGGATGAAATGAAATAGAATACTGTATATATATTTTAAGTCTGGTATTCAGTGGACGCTTAGAAATGCTACTTGTCTTTATCATATCACTAATATGTGGAATCTAAAAAATACAACAAAGTAGTGAATGTAACAAAAAAAAAAAGATACACAGAACAAATTAATGGTTACAAGTGAGGAGGAGGAAGGGGCAATACAGGAGTGGGAGTGTGGGAGATACAAACTACTGGATGTAAGATAAGCTACAGGGATGTATTTATTGTGCGACACAGGGGATATAGCCAATATTTTGTAATGTAAATGGAGTTTAACCTTTAAAAATTGTATAAACATAAGATTTAAAGGAAACGGCAACCCACTCCAGTATTCTCGTCTGGAAAATCCCATGGACAAAGGAGCCTGGCGGGCTACAGCTCAAGGGGTTGCAAAGAGTTGGTCACGACTAAGTGAGCACATAGAATCATGAGCAAACAACTGCCTCTTGTTTGAAATCACTTAAAAAAAACTTATTTGCTTACAAAAATTTCGCTTGGAAAGGAAACTGAAAACTTCTGGGGTACACCCGCCCACCCTGTACGCCAGAGTCGGGAATCAAATACCCTTCCCTTCTCCCTCTCCCTTGCTGGGGTAGCCCCCAGCGGCCGGGAGCCCGGGGACAGGAAATGCCAGAGAAGGCGGAGGCGGGGCCCCCGGAAGCGCTCGCGCGCCGCTGTCAGCTGCGCCGGAAGTTCCTGGCCTGGCCTGGTGGTAACCTTGGAGTCTAAGCCGGTGGTCTGCCGCCGCCGAGGGGTGGGCTGTGGGAGTCCGAGCTTCAGCCGGGGCCAGGCCTGTTAGGTGCCAGGAGTCGCCGGGGTTGCGCGGGAGTTCGCTGAGGATCGCGGGGAGCAGGAACTGCGGGCGCAGGGCCGCCCAGCCGACATGTCTCTAGTTGCGGAAGCCTTAGTCTCCCAGATCGCAGGTAGCGTGTGTGGCCGCGGACCCGGACGGAGGCGGGGGCCGGCGTGGGGTAGTCGTAGGGAGCAGTGCGGGTTTAAGCACTGCAGCTTTCCTCCAGCCTTGCAGCGTTAGACGCTGAACCCAAGGTTCGGGATAGAGGCGGGCACTGACCGCCAACTCTTGGATGAGAAAACTGAGGGGGAGAAACTCGGCTACGGTCAGCCCGGAGGAGTGGGAATCCCATCCGTTTTTACTGGGCAGTGCTTTGTCCAGCTACCCATTGGGTCTGGAGGTGTTGGGATAAGTGGGGAACACTGTGGCCTGGAATTAAGGTGGGGGCGTGGCCATATCCTAGAGCTTCAGAGTTAAGTGTGGGGGCAGCCTCGGTGTGGGACCTGAGGTTTAAGGTATTTTTCTCACTCAAAGACATTGTCTTCTAAAAGTGAGGGAAGCCCCCACTAGATTGCAAGCTTCTTGAAGGCAGGAATAATACTTATATTGTTTCTAGTATCTTGAGGACCTGTCAGTTGGTGCTCAATAAGTATTCGTGACCTGAATCAATGAATAATCTTGAGATTTCAAGCAATGATTATTTGCTTTACTGTTCATGTTTTTTAAAATGTTAGATCATGAATGTAGATTGCTATATTAAAATATTTCACAGTTGTATACTGATATTGGTATACAGTGTGCATGTTCCCCTAATGTGTGATTTCTTTTAAGGAAAAAATGAATATCTTTTAATCAGTTTGGAACTTTGCTTCAATTACTGAAATTTAGGAGTTTCTAAGAATTTTATCAGTCTGCCATCTTAGCTATTTGTGGTGATCACTCTAGGAGGAGGCATTTATAGATGGATAATTCAATAAGTGGTGTTGGGACAACTCCTCAGTCATGACACTGCAAGAATAAATTCTAGATGAATTAAAAATTTAAGTGTAAACTAAGAACAAAAACCAAATTGTAATAAAATAATTAGGAAAAATATAGGTGATATAGTGTAGGATGCCTAAGTAAGATACAGAGTGCAGAGTGCATGGAAGAAAAAATTAACAGAATTTTTGCAGATATATTTTAAAAGCTTCGTATGATGAGACACATAAGTTTCTACAAATTAATACGAAAAAGGCAGTCCAACAGAATCAAAGGTAAAGGATAAGAACAGGCAGTTTACTAAAGGGGAAATGCAAATCAGCAGAGAACATATGAAAAGATGCCCTCCATCACTAATTTCCACCCAGTCAGATGGGCAGAAATGAATATGATAACTTTTAGTACTGACACTGGCATGGGGAAAACAGTTGCCCTCAAAGTATTGGGGAGTCTGTAAGAAACAACTGCTTTTGGGGAACTTAACATAGCAATATTTATTTAAATGCTGTTAATTGACTCAGGAATTCTTCGTGGGATTTATCTGATAGAAATATAAGGGCCAGTATTTAAAGAAATATACAACTGTAGTAATTGTAGTATTATTTGTAATAGCAAAAACCCAGAAACATCCTAAATATATGTTAAATTGCGGCATGCATGGTCAGTTGTGTCTGACTCTTTGTGACCCCATGGACTGTAGCCTGCCAGGCTCCTCTTTTCATGAGCTTTTCCATGCAGGAATACCCGAGTGGGTTGCCGTTTCCTACTCCAGGGGATCTTCCCCCATCCAGGGATCTAACCTGCATCTCTTGTGTCCCCTGAATTAGCAGGCAGAGTCTTTATCACTGCGCACCTGGGAAGGTAAAGTTATGGCATGCCCACATTATTACAGATACTAAAAATGATGAGGTATAGCTGTTAAGCTTTCCTGGTGGCTCATTGGTAAAGAATCCACCTACCAGTGCTGGAGACATGGGTTCAGTCCCTGGGTTGGGAAAATCCCCTGGAGAAGGAAATGGCAACCCACTCCAGTATTCTTGCCTGGGAAATCCCATGGACAGAGGAGCCTAGCGGGCTACAGTCCATGGGGTCATGAAGAGTCGGACACGACTCAGGACACACGCACTTGGATTCTCTGCATTATCTGAGAATTGCTTGTTGATATGGAGAAGCCTTTGGAACTGGGCCCTTTGCATCTTTGACCACTCTGCTGCCTTTTATTTACATTTGCTAAACAATATTTTAACTCATATCAGAGTGAAGATATATCAACCTTTCAGACAACATACAGGATTCAAGAAATCCTAAGATGCAACTCTATCCTTAGGCCATTTGTAGTTTTTGGTCTTTAGCCAAAGAGGCAAAGATAAAGAATGGGAAGGATAGGAACTTAATAATTATTTAATTTAACCTTCAGAACAGCCTATGTAACAGGTAATGTTATTCTCATTTTTGAGAGAAAGAGACTGAGGTTTAGGGAAGGAAAATCACATTGGCAAGGGCCCCAGAGGTGTGCTCCTGCAAAGCCTGAGTCTGCTTCTCTATCCCGAGCTGTTTTCCCAGTTGGGAGGACTACTCACTACCCGCTTGCACAGCACTTAGCAAAGCGTCTGGTACTAAATGGGCAGTTAGTAAATGTTTGTTTCGTTCATACAGATACAGAAAAATTCATAATCTGACTTTTGGAAGGGACCAGAGTCCTCTATTGGAGAAAGTCAAGGCTTAGAGAGATCAACTTGGGCACAGAGCAGGCTAACAGGGGGAAAGGTCAGAGTCTCAACATCCAGATTCCTGAAAGGCGATTCACCCTGCTTCCTTGAGGTGGGGGACCGTTAGAAGTGAGCGGCATGCTGTTCCGAGTTGCTGCCCTAGTCCACCAGTTCTCAGACCTGGATGACGATCCACATTCACCTCAGGAACTGTTAAAAATATATACACTCTATTTTATAGTGTATAAATATATAAAATACAGTGTATAAATATATAAAAATATATATACACCGGGTCCTTCAGACCTGGTGGCTCAAGCTCTCCCGCATACACAGGTGTGTGCTTTTAGAAACTTATGCAGGTGATTCTAACACACAGCTAAGTTTCAGAACCACCAGCTCCAAGATCCACTTTCAGTACGACTTGGTCATATCATTTCTAAGACAGAAAAGCAAAATGACTGAATCAGTTTCAAAAAGCTATGGCCAGATGGCAGGTGACCCCTTTCCAGCAACGAGTGAGAAGCCAAGAGAGGAGAAAATCTCGATCCTAGAGGGACTTGGGGACTGTCGCCCCAGCAGCTGGCAGCAGTTCTCCCGTGCTCTCAGGGCCTGGGCCATGTCACCCTCGAACGGCAGACGCCAACAGGGCCCGTGGGCTCAGAACTACTCCCCGAGCAGCACAGTCCTGGCCCGCTCTCTGCCCAGGGTCACGGCCACCTAAACTCAGAGGTGTGCCTCCTGCTCCTAGGGCACAGTTCAAGGGCATAGCTTCACCCCCCTCACACAGGCAGCAAAAGNGAAGAATTGATGCTTTGGAACTGTGGTGTTGGAGAAGACTCTTGAGGGTCTCATGAACAGCAAGGAGATCCAGCCTGTCCATCCTAAAGGAAATAAGTCCTGAATATTTATTGGAAGGACTGATGCTGAAGCTGAAACTTCGATCCTTTGGCCATCTGATGTGAAGAGCTGACTCATTTGAAAAGACCCTGAACTGGGAAAGATTGAAGGTGGGAGGAGAAGGGGACGACAGAGGATGAGATGGTTGGATGGCATCACTGACTCAGTGGACATGAGTTTGAGTAAACTCTGGGAGTTGGTGATGGACAGGGATGCCTGATGTACTGCAGTGCGTGGGGTCACAAAGAGTCGGACACGACTGAGTGACTGAACTGAGTGAACTGATTCTGCTTCTGGCAGTAATACGGTTTTCTTGGAAGAGACGAACCTCGAGAGATTAGAGATATATATATCTACACAGTTCTGTTATATTAATAACTTAAGTAAATGTGAATCTGTTTTTGTATTTGAGAGCTCTGTTTTTAAATGTATTTAGCACTTTGCTTATTATTCTTTTCTTCAGTGGGCCAACAAACTGGTGTTTCTTTTGGAAACATATAAAGATGTCTTCCATCTATCTGTGATACTCATGAGGTAGCCTCCTTGAGAGCCTCATTCATAAGGACATCTTTTAGAAGCCTTCTCTGAATTCCCCCATTTAAGTGAACCATTTCTATCACTTTACTTCTAATGTATTCCCCCTCCAAGTTCTCTCAGTTCTTACTCCTTATTATGACTCAGTGGCTATTCCTTCCATCTCTACTTTAGTTTAGGGTTTGTTATTTCTGGCTTGAATTACTGTAGTATTGTCTGAATAGGTTTCCCTGATTTTAGTCTGATCTCTTTCTAGTACAGCCTGTATACCGGAAGCCTCAATGGGCTTTTGTTTGTTTGTGTTGAATTATTTTTATTTTCCTAAAACGCAGAGGTAACTCCTCTTGTTTGAACACCATCATTTATTCCCTGTTGTCAGTAGATGGAGTGAGGCATGTAAGACCCTCTGTAAGTTAGAGTCTGTCTCTCTAGCTTCATCTCTTGTCACTCCTTCTCCTTGAAGTCTTGCTATTCTAAACTATTTGTAGTGTCCATCTTTGGCAAATGTTGACTTTTGCCTCAACTGTTCACTTTGCTTGGATAACTAAGCACATTTTAGTCTGTAAGTCTAGCAGACATTTTTTCTCTGTCAAATAAGAAAGGTTTATTTTTTTTTCTTTTTTCCCTCATAATAAAAATAGTACATTGTTATTGTAGAAAATGAAAAAAATTGAAAAGTATAAATATAAAGTAAAAGTCACCTAAAATCATAAATTTAAAATCCCATCTTCCTCATTATAACTTTGGTGAACAAAGCTACCCCATTCACTCTCTAAAATAAAAAAAGAAACATAAATAATATATAATATGCATGCTTTTTTGTAATCTGTTTGTCATGTAGCATTGACATCTCTTTCCATGTCTGTGAATGAAATGACATATTTATCATTGTTAAAGTTTGTATGGTATTTCATTGTAATGAAGAAATCATAATTAGCTTATCTAGTCTTTTTGTGATGTGTGTTCATGTATTAGTTCAGACTGAGAAGCAGAAGTGGTAGGAGCT